CGATTATGAGCGTTCCTGATGTTTTTTCCAGCCTTTAGAGATGTCGAACTGACTGATTATACTAGCTTTTCCCACTATTGGCCACATCTAGACATGTGTAGGTCTTAAAAAATTCATACACACAGTAACATACATACATACATACATACATACATACATACATACATACATACATACATACATACATACATAATAAGTTGCATACATACATACAAACATATATACTTACATAATACATACATATGTACTTAAATATATACATACATGCCTACATACGTGCATATTTACATACATATATACTTAAATGTATACATACATGACTACATACGTGCATATTTACATATATGCATGAAAACACACATACATATATATATTCACACACACACAAACTTACACGCATACATACCTACATACATACATGCATACATCACAACATACATACATAAAAACATGCAGCAACACGAGCTGCATGCTCACTTTTTTCACTTTTTCTTAGATGCTTCTTCTTTTCCAGGAAGATATTTTGTTTTTTTTTTCTTTTTAGATTTTCTTTTGCAAAACTGTGTTTGCGGTTTTTTATGCCTCAAATTCGTTTCTTCATGATTTTTAAAAATTATTTCTTGAAAGGTCAATTTTATAAAAATCGTGTTTTTTATAAAATTTTATTTTACAAAAAACATGTAAATTTTATAAAACTCTTTTTGTTTTATAAAAATATATAAATTCAACTGGGAATAGAAGTTTCTGTTTGTTTTGATGGGAATGTTTCCGCATTTTTTTTGGAACATAATTGAGTTCAAAGATCATATTCAAATCTTCGAAGTCAGCAACATCCATCACTTGACCTCTCCACTCATCATCAATTACACAGGTACCCCACAACTTCCTCCCAAATATCTAAATGGTACCAGAAATCAGTTAAGAGGCCGTTCCACTACTCCGATGGCCTCACATCGAGTTAATTGCAAACAGGGGCCCCTACGTGAAGTTTACTTTGCCCGTTAACTCTTGTGTAAGCCTTACAGACATTATAATTGCGGTCAGAAAGCAATGATTGCTCTTCCTGTAACAGGATGGCCAAGAATTTTTGGCCACTGAGCGGGCAGTATGGCGCTTTATAACTTTTTGCCGTTTAACCATAGGCAAATCCAAGGCGGACTCCTGGAGAAAGGGCGACGGGAGATGAGGAGGAGAGCCCTCCTCCCCTCTGCGTGGAACTATGCAAAAACTAGGAATAGAGTTGTAATACTGCTACTTAGAGTTGCTTTTGTTTAGAGTTACTTTAGGCTTTAGTTAACTGAGGTAACCGTGCAGCCAGAGTTCTCAAATTTTCCAATGCGTTTGTCATTACTAATATACCAATCACAACGGAAGCTGACCTATTTTTTGATTACTACAGTGCGTTTTTTAGGGTATGTCACATGTGGCGGGTGCAGCACGAGAACAGCTGGAACACGAAGCAGCAGCCGAAAATATCAAAATGCACTCATGGAAGGTATGTTTTGGCGCCTGTGCAAAATTTCATTGTTCCAGCAAGAAGAATATGCATTTCTCAGGCGTGGAATGAAGGAACTAATCGCATAAGTTAAGAAAAGGGGGGGGGGCGTAATCTCGGTACCTGTAGTATCACACTGTTTTGCATGATTGGCTAAACTTGGCTTACTTAAATTCTAAACGGGTTTTTCGAATAACTTGTTGCTTTTGTGTGGTTTCTCAGATTTTGTTTGTGGACCTCAAATTTGTTATTGTTGCTAATCATTTCTGCCCAATCAATGTTGCCAAATTTTCAATTAACCCAAAAAAATCAAGAATTTCATGATTTTTAGGGAAAGTAGCCAAGAACTGTTGACGGATTCACTCGTGCCTCCCTCTTTTAATAAGCTTAAATTTTACAAATTGGCACTTACATCTTGTATATTGCTCGCTCTCAGCATGAGGAGATAGTGACGAAAAATAACGAGACACCGTTCTCTTTGAGGCCGGTTATCAGAATGGGTACAGTTTAAACCCATCAACGATCTAACAGTTCTGCTTTTTTTTAGGATAAAATTGAGCAGCAGAAGCCGCACATCGATTACAGCGAAGTGTTCGATGAAGAAGTGGGACAGGAGGAAGGAATGTGGGTTTGGGAGATTGAAAATTTTTATCCAAGTTTGCTCGATCAGTCGCTCCATGGACACTTCTACGACGCCGATTGCTACCTCATATTACACACATCTAAGGTTTTTTTTTCAGTTGAAATTGAAATTGAAATAATTAGCCTACGTTTTAGACATAAGGATTACTTTGTACTGATAATTTGCTTAGCTTTCGTTTCTTGCTGCATAGTATCACAATATATTCCTTCTTAAATGACGAAATGGGACACTGTACTGATGATCATTGTACATACAGGCTTGCTTATTTGGGAGTTCCAAATGGCACTACTTCCAGTATTTTCATTAATTGTCAAAATTCGATTGTGTTCCTCTCCACGGTGCTGGGCCAACAACGCCAAACAAATTGCATATATTAACGCATAGACAATTTCATGCTCCCGTTGTCTTCCAGTCTCCTAGCCAAGGATATTCATTGTTTATATCTCTAAAATTTCCACACCAATCAGTATAGCTAGCAGTCTTTTCGTCATTGTTATGGCTAAAGTTGCTTCTCGTGATAGCTATCCTACTGATTTTCGGAATCTTCTTTTTTCTTTTTTTTCGTTATTCTGAAAAGGACTGCCAAGTTTGTCGAATTTCTTTTATAGTTTTCTTAGAAACTATGTTATTTTAATGAGAAATCAGGAATAGAATTGCGCAACTTTCTCAAATTGTCGCAAAATTTTTTAGAAAGGCCAAGAAATCACATTGAGAGTATTTTATCCACAGTCATAGCGACGAGGACAAAAATTTAGGCTTTATTCGGCTG